TACTTAATTGGAAATTTTATAATAATGTGTACGATGGTGTCAACTTATACCTACATAGTTAGAAATCACACGGGTGTGGTAATTTATAGAGGTTCTGAAATATCTATACATGAGAAACACCAAACGGATGAAAGCTCGATCGTCCGGAGACAGTTCCGTGTACGAATCACTCTGTTGATTTTCAATCAATAATGTTACTATGAGGTGTCGTATGGATTCAGTAACAAATCCTACACAGAACTCACAAGGGCTGAAGGACTTCTTGTGATTTCGAGGGGCAGTTTTTATGTGTACAAGATAGGTGAATGCTGGAATCTGAATGAATTACTATAAATATTCTTCCGTAAAAAAAATTATATACCTACTTAAGCAAATTTGTGAGGAGAAAATTTTCTCAAAAATTAGTAACGGTCATTATTTGATCCAGTAGCCTTTGGGAAAAATTGCAAGGTCGCAAAAAAGTTTCCATGGAAGAAATATCCTGTATGAACAATTTTCTTCTGTGACGGGAAAAAAGTTTTGATTTCATCTCTGTTGATAGGTTATAAGATGTCACTTTCCATAAATTACCTTTTTCCCGGATATATACAGGGTCTCCTATAAGTCATAGAAATATAACGGATATCCTATTATACCGAGGGATATCTTCACAGGAAAAAAGTGAATATTGGAGTATTCTTTGAAAGATCATACAAAATCGTTAGAGGCAAAAAATGATTTCAAATAGTGATTTCGTTAATTACATAAATTTCTTTGTTGCTTCGGATATCTCATTGTACCTATCCATGAAATCTGAAGAGGATATCCGATACAGATCCTCGATGGATATTTTATGGATGTCCTTTCAAAATCCTGGAATATCCCGACCTGAATTGGACATGAAACGGATATCCGCAGAAAATACCATGTTTTGTCTCGATATATGTACGATAGGCGCACAAACATGTATGGACACATTTTTTTTGGAAATCTTACTTGTAAACGAAAGGTCCTGTTTCCCTGACGATGGGCTTGGCACCTTGCATAATTTCATCAGGATTTTGGACATCGAACAGAAAAACTTTGAAAGTGAAGGGAAACGGCATTTTCGTGAACATATCCCATTGCTGGGTATTTTCTCTCATGACTTTCATCTATAAAAAAATCATTACTGGCCATTGCACAAGTGATTTTTACAGAATAGTTCATAATTATTCACCTCCCATATTTTATCTGTGATAATCTCAGGCATACCCTTGTTTCCAAAATATAACCCACCACAAACGAAAAGCACTCCAAATATCCCCAAAATCCCAAGAGTTTTATTGGATAGATCTAATTTCAAATTGAACACCATTTTTTTCAGGAGCCTTTTAATCCTAACAGTACCATTCACGCAACTGAATTGGAGGTCATTTTTCGGATGACTTCTGAAGTAATTACACTTATCCTGGGCATAATGCATGATGGACACATTATGATAGGTCATTTAATCTATACAAATGATCAATGTGAATTATGTTTCATTCAGATTCGATTACAGATAAAAACAAAGCATAAAATACAGTTGGTAAACGTAGTACCTATATAGCGAGATATTAATAGATAGGTGGCTGTATATTTACAGATTGTCTGAAAATATCATGAAAATATTATATTCAGATGGAAAACATTTCATCAATCTATAGGGTAGCTCATTTCTAGACTAAAAATAATTGCAAGATGCACAGGGACTTGGTTTCACAGAAAGTGACAATAACTAATTCTCAAATGGTAAATTCTGTATGTAAAATTGAGATTTTTTTGGCGCATTGGTTGCTTCGCCACTACTTGGTATTTACAGCGTGTCTCACTTTAAACGGCCCCCCTTTATATCTCAGTTATTAGTCATGCGATTCCAACCAAATTTGGTGTGGTATGAATAACCATCAATATTGTAATGTATGGAATAAATAAGGTATACAATTTCCTTGTTTATATGGTACGGAAATACATTTGGCACCTGCGCGTGCAGAAGTAAAAAACTCAGGTATGTGTACCTTGAAGATAGGTTTTTCGTAGGTACCAGTTTTGTGCGGGCCAGCAAATTATAAATACGTGGTGTAGGAAATATAGTGTGTAATCGGGAATGTTGTTTGATTACCCTTCTATAAACACCACAAATATGATCAGTTTTACAGAGATGCACATTATTTTGGACAGTGCCGTACGTCCTTATTGAAATAAAAAGGGGGCGATTTTCCATAAAATCATATTAGGCATTTTTTACAGGAAATCTAACCCCATATTATTGTTCCTCATGCTTTCGAATATGCAAAAAATCACCTAACCCTGTATATCTACGATTTATTCAATAGCATATTTCGAGTGAGCATCATCAAATATACTGGGTGACCAGATTTCAAGTCATTCGATCGCGCGGTTGATTTTTTACAGGGGGGGACATTTTAGCTGGGACACGGTGTATGTATAGGTGAATAAATATTAGATGCCGGTTATTTGGCCTTACTTTCGCTACTCTTCCTATTATATATTATATTATAAATCTCTATAAAAAAAGTTATAGGCTCGAGAAATGGATTTTTCAAGGTAATCTGCCTCTAAGTCATCTGACGCAATTCGAAGTCTTCTGAAGATATCTGAAGACTTCTGAAGATCTCTGAAAACTACTCGAAAATTCTGGAGACCTCTGAAATCGTGATATCTATGAAGTCATCTGAAGATCTCTGAGACTTCTAAGATTTTGATTGTCGAAAAAAAAGTACTAGGTTTTTTTTTTCTCTTATCCCGAACAGATATATAATTTTGTAATCAGTGAATCATCATTAGTATCAAGGTTCTTGGATATAGATAGACTTATATTATGAGATAGGATTAAGTTTATCGGTCTTTTTGTTTATTTAAGTATACATAGGTACCCGCTACTTTGGTTATAGATTACCTCTATAGCTCTATATACTCAGAAAGCATCAACATTATCAATATCATATGAGGATATCATAATGATTGCGTTTTGGGCCAATTTCCATATATCTATCTATAATATCCATAATTGGTAATCACTTATTAGGTATAGTTATATCTATTATAGATCGAAACTTTCGGTGAACAAAAATCTCTAATTAGAGAGAAGTGATGATATATACCATATAGTACTTAGGTCACAGTTTAAGGAACATTTTCAATGATTCGAATTATATTGTCGTATTTTGAATCACTGCCAAGTTCCTCGACAGCAACAGAATATTCTATGAATGTTCTCATAACGATCACAACATATACCTCCTTCAGAATATTCCATAAAATATTGATAGAATATGATGAGGATGTTCTAAATGTTCAAAGAATGTTTAAGAGAATATTCATTGAACATTTCAACCAAATATCCTAGGAACGTTCCTAGAATATTCCATTTTACATTCTATGAATGTTATTTGGGAATGATCATAGAATGTATTGTTCGAATATTCTAGGCATTTTATCTAGGTATATTATTTCAGATAGTCTGAGAAGGAGAAAAATGTGTGTTTCCTATAATCATATCATATCATAACTTGCTTCGTTCTTGAGATACAGGAAGTCAAAATTTTTCAGAAAAAAAAACATTTTTCACTGATTATTCAATATTCTTATTATAGCAATACGCCGGGGCTCAGTGAATTCAAATTTACCGCTATTTTCTCCAACTATACTTTTCTTCCTACCCTACCCGAGTTATAACTCGGAATATTATTGGATATGAAATACCGAGTTATGAAATTCCAAGGTATAACTAGGAATTTTGAAGTTTTTATTTTAGGTGTTCCTTCCAGGGCTTCGCGTATTTCCCTGAAATATTTTCCAAGCGTTTTAGAACACTCTGTATACTGAGAATATTTCTAGATAATTCTGAGGATGTTCTATATATATTCATAGAATGTTCTGAGAATGTTCTGAAAAATATTATGAGAACGTTCAGTGCGCACCTTGTGAATTCAAAATCTTCGACGGTAATATTCTGAGAACGTTCTCAGAATCACTTTTGTGCTGTCTGGAATGGTGTCTGATGTTGTCTGTTGATTTGTGATTAAAGTTTGGTTAAATCTGACCCACTTCCAATCTTTCGATTGATTTGATGATATTTAGGAAACAATTTTAGAGTTATGAAAAAAACGAGATGGCGGATCTGATAACGACTATATACCAGCTGATCTGAAGAAATTGTTTCCACACGGACAGAGAAATCCTATGAACCGAAGAAAAAAGAAGAACATATATATTTAACTGGTAGGTATATCGTAAGATGCATAGGTATATAATATGCATAATTATGAATATGATCCAAGATCCAAAAGATGCATCAGCAACAGGCGGTTCTATAGCATCACGGGCACTTTTCTTTGAGAGTTGGGACTTTCCGAACGATGATAATTTTCGGCCGAGAGCTTCGCTCACTGCTTGAAAATAAACATCATTGAAATAGCGAATCACTAGCGGTCTCAACACTAAATGCCATCACAGTACATTTTTCAGGGAGGAAGGAAAATAAAACATAAAAAAATTAAAAAGGGCAGGTTGAGTATAGGGATTCCAACCCGGGATCTCTCCATCTAAAGTGAAATGCTTAGGCATCTTAATCCCTCAGACGAATAAAAATCCTTATCTAAAGCAAAACGCACGCACGTAGTTCGCTTGTCCAGAGACTTGTCTATTCTATTAAAATTACCGGTCCACCCTGTGTTCAAAATAGGCAGGTAGTTCAATTTGAGATTGGCAATATGTCCACTACTGCCAAAGAGCCAAAGAAATAGAAAACAAATAAGAAGAGGAATTGACGGAACTAACCTATAATTTTGCTTTGACATTTGTGATTTACATTTTAATTTTCATTTTCAATATTTTCATAGATTTGCTGAGACTGTTTCTGATTTTCTGCTAGATGAATTTCCAATAAAAATGTGAGCATAGGAGATAATAAACAACTTCCAGCGATCAGTGATATTCTGGATCTGGTGTAACGTTGGGTGCAAGCAACAATCAATATGTTATTGAGATGCCAATCCATTCTGAAAAAGTCCATCTCTTGCAAGTACTTATCAACAAATGCAGAACCGACTGCATCAATTGCGGACACTGTGCAGCCTCCAAGAAATGCAAGAGTGGTTGTTTGTGGAGGAGGCATTATGGGAGCCTCAGTAGTATACCATTTAGCAAAAATGGGATGGGGAAATGACATTGTACTTGTTGAACAAAATAGGTAGGAAATGAAAAAGAAGCGCCTGCCTATCTAGGATTCCAATTTGAAATTGAAACTCAATAGGTTATCATATCCAGGGGCAAACAAATCTTTGAACATTGAGTAGGTATACTTTGAGAAAGTGATTCCTGCATGGTTCCACTACTTACTCTTTTGTGATGAAATATGGTCCCTCCATACAATAAATTTTTGTTCAGAACTGGTCCAACAGATAAGCAATTTTTTTTATTACACTGTTTTCCCTTGTGCTGAATTAGTCCAGTAGTCAAAGTGTTTGATCATAAATATTGGCCAACATCTCATTATATTTTTAAAATTCACAATAACTATTCAAAATACTCTTCATTTATAATCAGTTCATTGATTGTGGAAGCCACTTATATTTTCCTCAGAAGGTTATAGTGTTTAGTTCTGTGTTTAGATAGATAGTCTTCTTCAGAATGAAGTATTGAAGTATTCAAATAACCCCTGGATTGTTTCTTAGAAGTAGATATTGATTTGTTAGAACCTCTATTTGTAGAGTATCCAAACTTACTTGGAGCATCCCCAGCAAAAACCATACACAGTGCTGTGCAGGTAGGTCTGAAGTTCCTTTTGAAGTATGAGCACCAATTGACAATGGATAAACTTTTCTGACAGATTGTTTAGTGTGTTCAGGTATAGATGGGTATAGATAAGTCTTCTTATCAAGAGAAACATCCTGAGACAGTATTTAACCATCTTCCTGAGGTCTGGTCAAAGAAGGGAAATACCACCTAGACTCTTCTTGTTGGTTCAATAGAATCAAATTGAATGAAATTTATTCTAGAAGATTGATGTGTTAATAGTGTATGTAAAACATATCATTCACATTTTGTCCAGCTTGTCACAGAAAACAACTTATGGAAATTATTTTTACAAAACTAAGACTCTCAATCAATGACTACCATACAAAATATCTACTTATCATGAACAAATAGCCAATATTATTTAAGAATATTGAAATCAACATTCAAAGATAATTTATTTTGAAACTGATTTGTTGTATCACAATCTTTTAGTTTGTTATATAATTGTATGCTTATACAATTTGGATTGTTTTGGCCAATGTGGAATCTCTTGAAAGATAAGTGTAACAAAATAGATTTCCAGGTATTGAATTTACATGAAAATTGTTTTACTCATGCCAGATTTTCAAATACATTTAACAAACCATGATTTTTAACATATTTCAATACTTTTGATGAGTGCCTTATTTTTTATTCCTCTTTAATTATATCTATCTAGTACTTTCTCCTTGACTTTCTCATTAGGTATTTCACAGTATTTCATCTATATTCTATTATTTCTACTATTTTTCACTCTCCCAGTTCTTCAGTAGGTATTTTCAAATGTATTTTTGCCAAGAAAATTCGTTTGACAACACTTGATTTTTATCAAACCTATTAATTCTGACATGAGCAATATGCTCTGCAAATCTTCTGCCTATGCTTTGACATGTTTGCTCAATATATTTCATGTTACAGTAGAAACTATTAATTTCATGAATACCTAACTGATCATTGGTACCAATTTTATCTTCAAGTTTGAAAGAAGTTTATTAATGGTATTTTTCACAGTAAATATTGTATGACATTGAATTCCATTCAATGGCCATTGCTTACCTAATAAACAATGACAAATACCAAATATTTTGAATACATTGTGTTATTTTATAAGAGTTGTTAGCCCCTATGTATCTCTATCTAAATGCATAAATTCCAACAAAGCAAGAGTACTCAATACTTGAGAAGGGTTAAACTTATTTTACTTGATGTAATGGAGAATGACTTTAAGTATATCACACTTGAATCGCCAGAATTCTTCAAACTCACATATGGAGATGCTGAAACTTTTTCAATAATGGGGTTCCAGATTATAGTTATATTCCAAGAGCCAGCTGCAAATCTCGACCGTCATCTGAAAACAAAATGATATATTATGTTTCAAAGGCATGTAAAACCATTGTAGTTTATCGACCGGCACCTGTGCCAATCATTGTCCTGAGCAAAATGATTGAAAAATTGCACTTTCCTGTGCGAAAATTTGCACTTGATTTGGCGATTTGATAACGAGATAAGAATTATGCCATCCAATACCAATTGAATGGTGCAGAAGGCACATTTTTCCCTTTCATTAGCTTCTTGTATCATTAGTGAGACTATACAGGGTGGCCCACGGTCGATGGTACCTTAGACGTATACGGAAAACGGTACATTGGATTATCCTGAAAATTTGTTTACTCTAATAAGCGTTTGTGATCTAACGATTCAAAATATTTTCAGCGAAGCAGCGTTGCCACTTTTACCAAAAAGTAGCATCATCTTTGTTATTTCAAATGGAACACCCTGTATTTTATTGCGTTTTTAGATTCTTCTCGAAGAGCTGATTTCATCAATGCATCACACTTGGGGTCTAGCAGGAATTATTACAGAGATATAGGGTGTTCAAAATCGAGATTTTTCAACTTTAGGATTTTTTTGTGTCGAAACTATTCATCATTGGTCAAAACGGTTTACATGTCCCTATATTAACTTTTGATTAACTATCTACCGAAATTTAATTGGAAAAAATACAGGATGGTCCAAGATCCATCGTTTTCCGTATACGTCTAAGGTACCATCGACCGTGGACCGTGGGCCACCCTGTATAGTGACTACCCAACCGAATTCGACCTATATAATGATTTATAATTTTTCCCTAATTCATCAGAATTTTCAAAATCATTCATTTCCTCAAGTTTTACGTTTCACTATGAAAAAATAATTGAAAGAATATTTTTTTCAAACAGAAAACTGAAAAATGACAAAGATCCTTTTTTGTGTAAATTCATCTCATATTTCCATTTGAATTGATGTATTTTAGTTTTAAAATCAATAGGAATCGATAAAATCGCAAAAAAACATTTTAGAGGGAGATTTCAGACGTTTGAGTTGCTGCCAAATGTCTGTTGAGCATCCTATCTTTTTTCATCTCTTGGAGACAACAATATAAACCTCACAATAATACCTTTTGTTTCTGGTGGTTGAAATCCTCTATGGACATCATATGGGTATAATCCCCCTGACTCTAGCCAGGGAACACCCACTAAACATTCCACCCCGCTTGTAGGCTCATCTGACCAATGTCTCCGACGACACTTACGCCTGGTGGCCCATTGTATCTTACCTAGTAGTTTATTATTGTGCCCATTCCATTATCTCTGTACCTTGAACAAGTCTGTACAGATTGTCGCGGCTTCGTCGACTTTTATGTATTGTGTTTGTCCAATTTAGGTAAATAATTTATTTTGTTATTAATCAAACCAAGCCACTGATATACAACAATTCAAAATTCTCATATCCCTTCCCGATTAACTTGGTAAAGCTTCGTATCTTCGGACATCATTGACGGTGTCACCCGAGGACGCGAAAAAAGACACTCTCCGCTCAGCGCGTGTGAACACACCTCGTATAGTAAACGCTCTCGGTCTCGGTAATATACCAAATCCCAAATTTCAAACCATCTAAAATATAATCGCTCGACAGTGTTCACGCGGACAATAAAATAACGGTGCTACCTATCAGTTTACCCCAGAACCCAGGATCCAGACTATACGAGCCAGGAAAACCAGGACATCGCAGAAAAGCCGGCAATCTGGAATCAGGTAGGAAGTGGCACCAAGTTTTTTTATAACTCCCTAAATACAGTCCATTTTCTATATCTTTTAACATTTTGGTCCATCGAGCCATCGGATGATGCTCTCTCAGATATTGTTGTATTTTTTTGGCATGGTTTGAATAATTATTCAATTTGCAAAACGTATAATTTGAAAATCATATCGCTGTCCTTTTCACTCGCATACATAAAATATCTCTCTCTGATATATTTATTTCTTTACACTCGCATATCATCGCATTGAATGAGGTAAAAACTTATCGCTAGATTTACCCTTTTTTGTGAGGGAATCCTCAATACGTTGAACTTTTGCTTCTCGCTCTCCTCTCAGCTGATTTACTCACTCATTCGATTTCTAAGTGTACCAGGGTCATACGAAAAGATTTTGAAATTATTTATTTATCTCATTAGATTTTTCAAAGAAAGTTTCCACTCATTCAATTTCTAAGTGTACCAGGGTTATACGAGAAGATTCTGAAATTATTTATTTATCTCATTAGATTTTTCAAAGAAAGTTTCCAAATTTTGGTGATTTGTTCAACTAAAATATGGCTGCTAATATCAATAAACTTAAACAGCAGATAGCATTTCGTGATATGAACGTTAATGAGCTAAAAACTATTTTTCAACATTCAGCTATGGCGGAAACTAATGTGGCATATCATCGCGCTTTCAAAGTTGCATACAAGCATTTCGAAACAATTCGTGAAGAATTTAAAAAGGCTCATCAGAATATCTTAACTGTTGGCTCTATTATCGACGGTACTAATCTTGAAGATCATGAAAAAATTAGAAAGGCATTCGAAGACGAGGCTATCTCAATCGAGACCACTTATTATTCATTGTTTGGCGATCCCGACAGTGATCAAAGTGCTCCAATAGTTCCTCAACCGAATGTTAAACTACCTCAAATTGAAGTGCCCAAGTTCGCTGGAGACTATAAGAAATTCAGAGGTTTCATAGATATCTATGATTCTCTAGTACATAACAACCCTACTCTCTCAAACATTGAAAAATTTACCCACCTCTGTAACTCTCTCCAAGGTCCAGCTCTGTCATTGATTCAATGTACCTCCCTTACAGGAGATAATTATGAAATTGCTTATAACGCGCTCACGAAGAGATATCATAATAAAAGATTAATAGCAACGGCTTATCTTCAGGAGATTGATAATTGCCCTAAAATCTCAGAAAATAACGCGAATGCAGTCAACTTGCGCAAGTTGATAGACACTTTCGATGAAAACATTGCAGCTCTCAAAAATATGAACTTTCCTGTAGATAAGTGGGATTTTCTCTTATTTTTCTGGTTAATGAAGCGCCTT